TCGAATTGTTGAAAGAGTTCAGAGAAAGGTTACTAGAACTGTGCCTGAGATGGAGGGGTTGTCATACGAGGAGAGGCTAAAATCTCTCAAATTGTTTTCTCTTGAAAAAAGAAGAGTTAGGTGGTATCTGATTGAAGTGTTTAGGATTGTAAATGGAATTGATAGTGTTGAATACATCATCTTTTTTCATATTTAACAGTGAGAATAATAGGACTAGGGGACACAAATAAAAATTTTGGCAAGGTAGGAGTCATGTTCAGCTAAGACAGTTTCATTTTTCTAACAGGGTGGTTGGCCTTTGGAATGGGTTACCTTCAGATGTTGTAGAGGCAGTAAGTTTAAGTGAGTTTAAGAAAAAGCTTGATAAGTACATGAATGATAAAGGCTTTCTTTAAGATTTTTTAAAACTATTTTAATTTAGTTTAGAGGACGGAACAGCCAAGATGGACCAATAGGTCCCATGTTGTCCCAAAACATTATGTTATGTTATTATGCTAAAATATATTTCATTACAATTATATTTTCATATGGTTATTATACAATTTAAAACCAAAGGAAAGCTCAAGAACACAGCTAGATTCTATGAACAAAATTTTTGATTTTCAGCTGTCTTTCCAGTTGGTATCTTGAATTACTTAACACAGCTCAAGTCCACACTTTTGTGGCAGCTTATATTTCCTGGAATCTGTGCTATGACTTAACCTTAGAGTTACATGGTGGGGTTCTTAAGATCCCCATCAGATTTCTTAAATACATTTTTCTAATCCAGTTATGTACCAAATTGCTTGTATATTCATGAATCTGTTAGTTTCAAGACCCCTAGTAATATATGTCACAGATAAACTTAAAATACAAATACCACTAATATTGTAATTACTCCCACTATTTACTGCTAAGGTCCCCTATGTATTTTACAAAGATAATGAGTGATTTAACCCACTTTATTTGGTCAGTTCTTTACACTGAATGTTGTATCAGGCAAAAACATAAAATTATTCAATATGAGGCAAAATGTGGACCCAACTGGTAGTGAACAGTATGAAAACAAGATGGTAATTTGCAGGTTAAAACCATTTTTCACAGAGGTCTGAATAGATACCAATAATGATTTAGAAACATTTTCATATCTTAACTAACTGGCCAAATCAACATGCCATAAATACTTATAAAACTTTACTATAAAATGGCAATACAAGTCCACTATAAAGTAATCTCTCATATTGAACCATGCTATAAGATAAGGCACTGGATACCTAATGCAAAATTTTCAAAGACTTTTCAAAATCTTACATGCATATAGACACATATTTATACTACCTTGCAGAACACAACAGTTCAGCAAACGGCACTCAAAATTAACCACTTTCTTCAATATTTATCCCACTCTTTCTTTACCTTCTTCTATAAGAAAGAATTATGAAAAATATCCGCCTTATTTAACCTCTGCAACAGTACTTAACATGCATCATAAGAGCTTCAAGCAAAAAAGGACATTATAAGATAAGACCAAAAGCATGATCATTACATAGATACATAAATGTAGAGAAATAACTGACAGCAAAGCAAGTTTCATGGCACAAAAGCATTTCCATCAAATCTGTCTTACTCTGTAAATTTTGACACTTTTTCACGTGCTACTCACGCCCTACAATATACAAAATGAAAATGCTGAAGTCAATTAAAAATATTTTACTTACATGTTCAAAGACAGGTTTCGCACATGAATTTCAAATTCATATACACTTAAGATATCAGCAAAATGTCTTTTCAAATGATTTTCTGTATGTATTAACTTGTCCCAATAGTCTTTAAGGTTCTTACTATATAGGTTATCATCTGTGTTATTCTTGATATAAATAAAGCTTGCAGCTAAAGCCCAAATACCTAAAAAATGAAAACAAACAAACTTTAGTTTGTAAGACTAATCTTTCTTTGGGAGTTCAAATGGTAATATTTGTATACATACGATAATATTAGAATTTGTTCTCATGATTGGTTATTTTGCCATTAAAAATGTTTTCCTAAATAATCTTTCACTAATAACAATAACCTTAATCATTTTCCCATTTAATAAACTAATAATAATTCATACCTAGTTAAACACAATTTGTCAATCAAGCAAAAAACACAGTGAAGCTAAGAATATTGTTGGATATACATGACTGTTTGGTGTGAGAGTTATTGTTTGGTGATTTAATGTTTAATGATTGTTTGGTTTTTGTAGCAAGAGTGTTGAAAATAATTATTTTATAGGTGATAGTTATGATAAGTTTCATTGCATAACTCGGTAAGAGTCATAACTTGTGCATGTAGTTCAACTGTTGTAGTATTGTTGGTGCCATCTTTCTTGAAACCTCTGAGTTTTTTTCACTATGTGAGTATTGTTACATTATACCATCTCCTAGTTTGTAGAAAGTTCTAGGCCTTAGTTGGAAAATATATAAATATAGGCAACCAAGTGAGTGCAAGTCAAGTCAGAAAAAGTTAGTTACAGTGAAAGAAAACATGAAGTTAGCCAGCATGTGAGTGATTAGTCTTACTGGATGATTTCTATAGTGTGTTTCACACCTGTATTGTAACAACAGAAATAGGAAAAATAATTTGTTTTTTCAATTGGGTTCTAAAGTAACTGAACCTACCTGTGTGGACTTTGATTAAAAAGAGACAATTATTGAAAGCTCTGGATACAACTATGGTAACTAACAAAACTAATGAAGTTAATTCAGAAAATGTTAAATTAGTGAAAGTGAAGTTAGACTGTGTGATTGTTAGTTTAGCCATAATGGGTGATCTTTTAATGTGAGTTTCACAGTTTAACAGAGACAAGAATAATAACTTGTTTTGTCAAAGGGTGTTCTAAAGTAATTGAACCTGTCTGTGTGGACTTTGCCAAAAAGGAGACAATTATTTAAAGTTCTGAATACAACTGTGGTAACCCATAGGGTAACATAAGTGAATCTATTGCAGATTGTGCAATAAGAAACAGAGCAGAAAAAATAATTCATCTTGTCAATTGGATTCTAAAGTAACTGAACTAATCTGCATGGACTTTTGACAAGAAAATAGAATTATTTAGAGTTTTAGATACAACTGTGATATCCTATAATGTAAAGAATTTTTTGTACATACGTTTGACTTGTTTTGAATATTTCATTTTAAAACAAGTGGATAGTGTGCTGTCCATTTATTGTTAGAATTTATCGCCAACAAGTCACAGACACCTACTGTAAAAGAATCCCAGTCCATATATAAAACCATGACAAATATCATTTAGAACATATCACTATTTTTATATGTTAGTTAACTGTATGTATAGTATCACAATGTACAGCAGGTACCATACATCAGTTATTTGACCCACCAATTTGTTCATTTAATATGTGTTTTTCTGAAACATTAAAACAAAATATTGGGTGCTATTTCAACTCTTAATAAATAGTACAAACTGTTATAGATTAACAAACAAAAAGTAAAACCTTGTGGAAGAAGATAATGACACCTAGCACAGTAGTCATTCCTAGAAAGTAAGAGGAGAGTCCATGATTAAATATTCTACATTTTCTGAAACATATATTGTACTTTATCTACAGTAAGGAATTAGTCACTAATATTATAATCATAACTTAATATTTTACAGGATTATATTAATACAACAGCTCTTAAAAACCCCAAATACAATAATTCTTATGCATATTGATGCATGTAATATTTTAAATATCTTTTGTATTTTTACTAATTTTCCAAAAATTTCTGAAATTTTAAAAGCTTTTTCTGATTTTTAAGATGACTATAAAACTTCCTTTTATCCAAGTGAGTGAGAATTCTGATCACAGTTAATTTGAAAGCAGACACTTACTGACAAACAGCACTAGAAAATTGAAATTTTCATAGCAACAGTTGAGGATAGAAAAAGTTAACGTTTTCTTACACTGAAAATGTATTTCTGATAGGTGCTTATCTCCTCTCATCCAAAGCTATCTCTTATGCCTTGTATAAGATATTGTGATCAAAAAGCATAGTCTTCCTGGGTAAAAAACATTCAGGGGAAGTGCCTTGGATACACAGGTCTATGAAAAAAAAATTACAGGTATGAGTGTGATCATGAGGGTTTCATAACCAGCCCATTATCAACATACATGTCATACTTTGTCCATATACACAGCAGGCCATAGTGCTAAAGATAGTGAGCCATAGTATCAAAATCAACTATATGTGGCTAGGGTGAAGGACTATGAATTGTATATGAATAAGACAAGTGCAGTCTGCCCAGGCAAAAAACATCCAGGGGAAATGCCTTGGGATATGTTGGATTATGCCAAGTGTGGTCCAACCAGGCAAAAAACATCCAGTGGAAGCACCTTGCATAAGCTTGGAGATCAACATGTGTAGTTCGCCTGGGCAAAAACATCCAGTAGAAGTGTCTTGCATAAGATATAGTGCAAATATAATACGAAACATACCCGACCAGGAAACACCTGCCACCAGGTGAGATCCTGAAATATGATATGTATCAACTAAAAATATATGAAAAAAGTAACATGTCGATTGACCCCAGTTAAAGGCAAACAGATGTGTGTAGAATCATCACAGAAGGAAGACAATACTTGCCTGAGGAAGACACAGCCAGGTTGTGCATATAATGTGTGATGAATGTATTGGGAGTTGTCCCCATCCCAACCTGAATGATCTCCTCCAAAGGTTGGTGAAAGCAAGCAGCTTAAGACATAGTTAGATGACGAATTGGGTACAAAGAAACATTGTGCAGATGGTGACCTTCCATGGACAAGTCAGAATATGCCAGACGTATGAGTGAGTGCAATAGAGAATCCCTGGAACAAACAGATGGGAATGATAACATGAAAGGAGGCAGTACAAGCCACATAACATCTCAGGGAAAAACCCAAACAAAGAAGTCTATCTGGAACCGAATGGGAGTACAGGTGGGAAATGTAAGGTAAGAAAATAGGAGAGAATGCCAAACCACTTGCCTGGACAGCAAATGTCTAAGGAAGGAAGGTCGGGTCAGGATAGAGGATAACATAAGAAAAGGATGTGGAAAACATCAATGGCATAAATATCAGAACAATGATGACAGCAAACAAGGAAGAGGACTTAAGAGAAAAATGGAAAATGGTACAAGGAACATGTAGCAATGGGTTCAAATGGAGAATTGGACAGGGCATGGAAAAGAAAACTGAGATACAATATAGTAAAACAAAGGGATGTGGTGGATGGACAAGAGAAAAAGAACAGAATGGGAGGGAAAGAACAGGGGAAGAGAAAGCTTTCCAGAAATGGGAGAATCAGAAGGTGTTTGACAGGGCAGCCTTATAACTAGAAACAGTTGACACAGACAAACACTGAACAAACAACCAGGCGAGGAACTGGGAAAGATGAGCTACTGAAGGATGGGAGGAGAAACCATGACGAATGTACTAAGGTCTGAAGGTAGACCACTGCCTTAATAGACATGGAGGAAGGTTGAATGGAATGGGAAAGAAAAGGTTCTATATGAGGGGTGAGTCCCTGAGCTGAAGCAAGGGACAGGACAAAAGCCATGCATGAAGATGGAGTTTGGTGACGTCGGAATGAACTATGTCTGATTGTGGTTGTTGGAGGTGAGACTGGGACAGTGGAAAGGGTAGGGGATGACACTCCAGTAAGGGACAGAACAGAGGGAACCACATTCGAGCAGGCCAATATGGAGAAATGAGCAGGACACAGGAAGGAGTGATATGGATTAGGGAAAAGACTCTGGAGAGAAGGCTGATTGGAGGGTAGGCATATGGGTGAAGACCCCTCCAATTCTTACTGAATGCATCTACTACCAGAACTGAAGAGTGTGGAACCAGAGACCTAAAGAAAGGAATTTTGGCATTCTAGTGAGTGGCACACATCTATATACAGTGTTCCCAGTTGAGAACACACCCACCAAAATACCCTTGGAAGAAGAAACCATTCCATGGGGACAACCTGGTTGGGTTGAGATAAATGATCGGCCACCAGATTCACAATGCTGGGAATGTGACATGCCAAGATCACTAAGTAGTGGTCGTGGGCCCAGTGAAAAAGAGCCAGAGTCTGAAAACATAGAGATCTGGATTTGGTTCCCCTTGCTTGGTGATATAGCCGATGACAGTGGAATAGTCAGAGTGAACCATAACCACCCTCTCCCTTCAGAGCAAAGACATGAAAGAACTAAATAATCACGTGAGGAAATTTGGTCAATCCACACAAGCTCACATAAACTTGCTAAACATGGGTATATCTACTGGGAGTGACGAATACACACTTAAAAACTTACGACAGATCTCCTGGGAAAAAGAACAATACCTAATCCAGGAGGTTACATGGAGGCATAGTAACAGGTGGAAGGTGCAGTAGAAAAAAATGTCCACATAGTAGTCATATGCTTCCTCACAAAAAATCATAATGTGAAAGGAAAAAATCCTCGGCTGAATGTAAGACATGAACTCCCCATGAAATATACCCTGTACTTCCTCATCTGGGGACTCAAGTCAAAACTATTGTTGACTGTCATAAGAATTTTATCATCCGCCATATTAAATCTCGAATTCACATGAACAAATTAGAATTCGGGAAACAGAAATATTTCTAAAACAAACGAGTAGAAACAATGGGAATCAAACACAAGAAGTCGAAACTTGAAGTTGAAACTGATATAAATCTGTGATCAACCACAATCATAATTTTGTAGTCACATGGAGAGCGAGTTAAAACACATGTCTACACACTAGAATGCCAATCAAGAAAGTGAGGATTGTTTTAGAATAGTAGAGGGGGCTATCTACACTAGTATAGATGGTACAGTATGATTGGTGGAGGTTAGTTACATGATCGGCATGTTCTAAAATGGTGCAAATTGATAGGGTATAAAAAATCGGTGTGCTGTTAGTGAAAAATTTTACTGTACTTAAAGTGTTCAGATATACTGTTTTTGTTGTAACTATTATATTATATGTTCATCATTTTTGTATAATATCGTAATCTGTACTTGTAATTTCTGATTGCCTTGTTTATTATTATCTGTTAGTTTGAGAACATTGTAAGCTTTTGTATTTGTTAATTGTCACAAATAAATGTTCCTGTCTTAGCCCTCTAGGTGTTGGAGCATGCAAGCTCTATATCTCTCCTGCTGTGCATCTCTGCAAAGTTGTATTGGGCTCAACAAGTGGCTTCATGTCACACAACCAGACAAACTAATGAAAGAATCTTCCCATTCAACTTTTTTGTATTGCTTGAGGCAGCCAACAAGAACCAGAAAACAATCATTCATTCCCAGAAACCATTAAACAATTTCAATAAATCCAAAAATAAGCAGGAAATCAAACAGCCTAGAGTGGGGCAAAGAGAAATCCAAATTTCTGAATACCCCTGGTTTGAACCTAAATACCTACCTTGACGATGACAGTGAAAAATTTTAACAATGCTTAGAGGGCAGTCCAGGATGAAGATAGCTTTGGATGAGAGGAGCTAAGACCATTTTGGAACATTAAATCTATTGTTTTTTATTGTTTTCTTTGAGGTACTAGATTCAATTTTTGTTCAGTTTTATGAATGACATGCACACTGAAGTGAAAAGAACTGAATGATTAAAACTTAAACTTATTATACTGTATGAAGAACTTCATAAATACAGAGACTTGTTTTGTGAATTCAGTTTTTCAACTTTTAAGAATAATCACTGGATAGAAATAAATGATTAAAGGAAATAATAATAAATTAATGATATTCTTAATAATGTGGATTAGAAAGTAGTATTGACTAGCAGTTCCATAAAATACTTACCATCAAACCGAAATAGCTGTTTAAAAGATTTAACTGTCTGGAATGGTCTCATCTGTTCAGTCTCACACTCATAGTAACCTTGAGCTTTTAATACATTATCTTCTTGTCTCTGAAGTGGATGTCCTCTGAGAACCTCTCTAACTGTCAACTTTAGATCATCGTTATCAATAGAACTATACCTGTGACCCTTCACAACTACTTCATCAAAATACCATACAATACTGTTTGGAAGAGAATTTTCTGTTTGACATTTCAAGAATGGAATTTGAGAACTCCTGTCACTAAGTAAAGATAAAGATTGATTCAGGACAAGTACTTCTGCCCATGCTGTGGCTGTTAAAAAAAAAAGGTAAGAAAATAGATATTTCTGAAAAATTCATTAAATATTAGCAATTGCATATTTTATTACCAAAATAATAAAAAAAAACGAAGAAATTAGTTAACTAGTGATTTCAGGGTAGTTTCCTTAATATGAAGTTACAAGAGCAAAATAAAATGCATTCTTTTATAACCATTAAAAGCAAACACAAATAAATTTTTAAGATCACAGGTAAATAATTGGTACCACAACCAGGAATCTTCACAAACACTGCTCAAACTTGGCAAAATTTTGTTAAAATGGAAAATGTCTTCCAGACTGAGCTTTTTGAAAAGTTTTAGACAAAATACATCAGAATTTATTTTGTGACTTTTTATTCTTGCTTTCAATTTTGGAACATTTCAGTAAATCATTAAGAAAAAAAAAAACAGAAGTTGGAACTTTGAGTTAGTTTTATCATATCTTTAGCTTTAGCAGTTTCATACAAGTAATTTCATGCACACACTGACAATTTCTTGAATTAGTTTATTATCCCAAAACAGATTTACTTTTTTTTGTTGTAAATTAATTTCATGCAAATACAAACAGTGACAGTAAACTGCTTTCAAGATTAGTTAAATAAATTTATAAATAGATGGTGTTTTTGTCTATGTGTTATAAGAATATGACCTTGAATGATCTTAATGGTTTCAGCACAGGACAAGCACACAACACACCATTCATACTATTAACTATTATTTTCCTATGTTGCTCCATTTCTATCAGTGGACTTCTGAATCACCCAGTATATACTCAATATTGCAGTAACTGGCATAAGAATATTATTCTGAAACCTAACAAACTAAGTAACTTTAATTGTAATAATAAAATGACCAATCATATCAGAAAAATGTCTTTATTCTTTACTCAAAGCTTTGGCTTCCAGTTTTTATCTAGAGTAAATGCCTATACATCAAGAAAGCCATTGCAACTGACATAAGTTGAAACAAAAGAATGCAGAAATTAAGACCGTGTCAGTTACAATAGTTTTCTTTATGTATAGCCATGGTTTTTTAAAAAAAGCTACCATACTTTCCGTAATGAGGAACTAATATTTCAAGTAGGTCCTTCTCTAACTTCAGCCATTTAATTATATCATTTATTACCTTGCTGAAGTTCAAACCCAAACCAATTAAATGTCATGTAGTAGGTATGGTATGGTGAACAAGGCTGTTTTGACACTTTTTCTTCATAATATTAGTTTCAACAATATTTACTGCTACTGCAGCAAACAAATTCATCTCTTGTACCTTGTTTACTGCTTTGCTTAATGATATTATGATCACATCTTAGCAAAAACCTTTATGAGTTTAAAAAAGCCCAATCTTTGTTTAATTATTCTCTAGCATATTGTTCCAGTTTTTCCTTCCAATTTTGAAATCCTTTAATTGCATAACTTAAATACTTGACCATGCTTATATATAAAATATTACGTTTTTTGGTTATAACTTTTCTATGTATATGAGTTTTATGCAACCACTTTTAAGTAGTCTTATTGTTGTTTATAACTTTGTACTGTATTTATCCTGTGTTCCTGCATATTTTTCTGCAGTTGTTCTAAGTTTGATTTTATGTTAAAGTTCTTTAAACAATACTAGCCTTACATCTTGATTTATTCTTGAACATTTACTCACTTTACAAAGACTAAATTTCCAACTACAGCAAAATGTTTTAACCTATTCTGAGCTGTAGCCTTTAAAACATTATGTTTCTGAGCAATACAAGATTGAGTTTTCTTCTCATTATGTAAACAGTAATTTGTGCTCATTGTTCACTAATTAATTATAAATTTTTTCCCTAGTTTTGGCCATGTTTAAACTATCAAAACATAATTACATCTTGACATATATGGATAATGTTAGTACTTTACAGGTTATTTAATGTAAATAACTCAATTACACAATATTATTGATGAATTAAAACAAGCATCAAAAACAAGACATTATTATCTCAACATGAATCAATGGTTAAAACCTGCTACATCAACTTTTCATGGTGACCAGCAATCGATATGTAATTTTTTTGTGATATCGTTTGAATAAAGGTAATAATTGTTTTTATTGTGATAAAAAAACAATAATGTGAAAAGACAATGTTACTGTTGTGTCAATGTTGTTAACCTTTTCACTGTCTCTATTTACTTACCTTGTCTATTGGCTTGTCTTTCACAAATATACTGTTTAGTCAATTTAGGGTCAGCTAAATCCCAATTTCCTTCAGATTTTACTTTTCCAAAATTCAAAGCTAACACTCCAGCCGTCTTGCTGAAATCTGTTGTAGATTTCCAGTGGACATATGTAACAGAATTATTTTTTTCATCTTCCCATTTATAAGTCTTGTCTTTCCACATGAGGCCCATCCAGAACTCTTTGGAAACTAATAAAGCATCATAAAATTAATATTCAACGTTCCTGAAATTTCTATATTAAACTTAAACCATTGTAATTTGTGTATTTTATCAAATATGCTTAACAATTATCAGTAGAAGTGAAAGAATATGTAAAAGAGTCTAATATGAAGTAAAATTATTTTCTAGAAAAATAGTACAATAGCGCTGAAGTTTGTCAAAAAAAGGAACAAATCTACCAATTAAAAAGTTATGATGTGTACATCAGTGCTTTTATTTTCTCCATTAACTGGCTTAGTTTTAACTAATAATTAAAACCTTGGCTTAAACTGAAAGCACATATTAAATATTAGTAGTACATGTAAAATGTTTACAGCTAAGATACAAGAATAATAATATGTTTATATCATGGTAATTTTAAACCTCAAATTATAATACATTTTGCAAACAAATAATTAATAAAAAAATACAGCAAATACTATCATTTTTAAAGATATTATCTTAAGTGAAAGCAGTACAAAGATAGAAAAAGTACCAACTATAAACTTGGTTTGGTACTTAAATAAAACAAATTACAGTTTTTAATTCAAACACAAAATATGATGATAGAAATATACTTGCACTAGAATTCAGCATATCACAATCATTATGGTAAACAGTATCTTAATCTTTTTTATTATTATAATCATGCATTTTTGATTTGGAAATGCTAAGAAAAATTTCAGACCAAAAGTTCTTGTCACATTTTCAAAAAAATAATTCATTCTTTCTTCATTCTAAACTTGAAAGAGATCTTAGCACAAGCTTTCATTAGATATATGCAACAATTTCTGAAACATCATACAAGATTAAATATTATTAATAATGTTTTTAGTCTTAGGCAAAACAAAGAATAGTAAGATAATCATAGGTTACGCTTATTATAAATTAAGAATGCCAGGGTAAAAATTGTAATTATTTTATTTCTGAGAGGTTCAGGTCTTGTGAACTGACTTAACAATGTCTCTGTATAAGAAACAGAACTAGCACAATTATACAAAGAAATTCTACCACATGAAAAAAAAAAAAACCCAGTCAACAATAATTATGTTTTTTGTCATTTGTGGCAAAGATGGTTATATTTTCTTGTACATACTTGATAATTTCAGTAGTGATGTTTTATTGCAATATTGTAAAAGTAATTATGAATAAACTTAGATTTCATATCCTGTTTCAAACTGTATTTCTTTAAAACAAAATTAGTTTTAGCTTCCAAGTTTTCACACAACATGAACATGAGAAATCTGATATTTGCATGTGTTAAACACAATGGAATGCTTGAAGGAAAAATCTGAAGATATTCAAAAATCATTAAAACGAATCCCAGAGTTAGAGATCTAAATTGAGGATTACTGATTTATATTTCTTATGTTCTATCAAAATCTAAGATACCTAAGGCCCAAACCAGAACCTAGTTACTTTTCATTATAACTGTAAAATTACAAACTTCCATTAAATGTTTTTAGTAATATTGTCAACACAAGTTTAGTTTATATTCAAGTCTATTTTCAAATATTCATATCTAGTATAAACTTTTCACAAACTACCAGTACTGATGAAGATACAAACAGTTATTTATAATAATATTTTAATATATAATGTAATTGTAATAAAAAAACTTGAGCATCCTTTCACTTGTATCAAATTGCTAAAATATTTTATGTTTTTCATTACTTTACTTCTTCCTTCAACAAACCACTATAAGAACTACTTTAAATAACCATTTAGTGTATGTACATAACAATGTTAAATATACTTACTTTTTCTTTTAGTAAAATACTTTTCTTTAAGATATTTCAGGATAAGCTTGTATTTTAACAAATCTGCCAAAGTCAGTAAACGTCCACCTTTACAGTTTTGCTGTGCCTCATTCCAAGTTGATTTTCTCCAAGACTCACCAATGAAGAAGCAGGTGTCCTGAATGAATGACGTTAGCCATTTTGAGGGACAAACTGGCACTAAGTACATAAAAGTAAGGTTATGTAGAGAATTGATATTGGTATTCACAGAGTATATTCTTTAAAACTCCTAACATGTATGTGTGTATATTTATATATGTTTGTATGAATATGTGTGTGTATAACTCACACAATAAATAGGTTATCGAAATGTTCAACTATGTTTATTAAAACAAGCTTTTAGATTCAATGCTATAACTGTTATCAGGCTACTAAGGAAGTGTCCTCAGAATGAGCTTAGAGGGTTACAACAATATAGCAAGAGCATACACAACATACAAACATAGATAAGCTACAACAACACACTCAACAGTACAAAGAGCTATCAATGTTGAAACAGTGTAATTGAGCTTCAGATTTATGCTAAAATCAAATCATAAATTTTGAAATGAAAGTAAATCAGTCAGTGAGACTCATTATCTTACTAAAACTTTTTTATACAAAATATCTAGAAATGCAGCATTGATAACAACACATATATATAAATCAATAAAACAAAAATGAGGTTGTTGATTAAAGATCAATGTTAGTAAACCCAAAGCAGCAAAAGTTACAAATGGTTAAAAATACTAACACAAATTACACAGGGTTTAACATTTCATTGATATTAATGTTAACACCATAGTCATGCAACTGAAGCAAAGATATCAGTGTTTCAAGGAAATTTGTAAAGTCAGGCACAAAGAACAGCATCTTGCCAGATAATTGGTTTAAAATATAAGCCAAATGTTTTAATACTAGTCAGAAAATATTTTACAACACTAACTTTATTATTTTACTTCTTTAATTGGACACTCAAAATTTTGTGTTACAACTTCTTCAGGAGTGTTCCACTAAACAGCTTGTGTTTTAGTGGAATGCTTCTGAAGAAGCTATAAAGCAAAACAGTGAGTGTCCAATTAAAGAAGAAAAATAACAAATTTGGTGTTATAAAGTCGTTTATTACTAGTATTAAAATGTCTTTAATATTCTAATATGTACTACAGAAATTAAATAATAAGCCAAATGTTTTGGCTATGTTATATATTAGTAATCAACAAAATCATAATAGTATAAAGTGGAACAGCACTCTTGTGAATTTTCAGTTGTTCATCTGCACTGTGGTGTATAGTAAGATGTTGGAATTTATTGTCAATAATTTCTCCTTTAGCTTTTGCTTTATTTTCTAAAGTAGTAGTCTGGTCACAATTTACGTTTT